TCTCTCTCTCTCTCTCTCTCTCTCTCTCTCTCTCTCTCTTCGTTGAGATATCGACGAGATATCCCCTCGAATTTCAATTGAAACCTTCCCGATAACCAAATTGAACTAATGCTGACTTTGAGAGTTGGGTCCAACTACTCTACCAAACTCTCTGTCTCTCTCATACACACAACTAACACACTCTCCCCTTAAAAAACAACTGAGCGATAAAAAACATCGCCAGAGAGTAGTTTAATGGCGATGAATATTATGCAAAAAAAAGTTATACTAAATAATAGCCAAAATACACATCGAGTAGACATAAAGGGAAGGGATATAAAGTATACATTCAGTCGGTGTTATCCTCGACACACACACGAACTCAAATAAATCTTATTTTACTTTTTTTTAGTTAATACTATTGCCCCTCGATTTGAAACTTCAATTTTAAAGCATAAATTATATGAATAGTGATTGTATTTCTATGAGAAGAGAGTAGTTTTCGCCAATTCCTCTAACCCTCTGTTTCACAACCGATTTTTTCACTCAACATTTTTTTAATGATTGTTATTTTCAAATGTATGCAAAAACTAAACTAATTTTTGCGTAATATTTATGAAATAATTATTCGTAAATTGAGATAAATATTAGGAATATTTAAATGAATGCTTTGAATCATTAGAGCATTTCATGTGTTAAGAAATACAAACACAATATTAATACAGTATTTATTTTGTAACTTTTTTGTTGTTGAAAAATACAATTTATAAATAATAAAAAACCAACTTTTATTGCTCAAGAATACACTAAATAATAAAATATCTAATAAATTGGTACAAAAATCGAGATATTGTCTCAAAACAAATTAAAACTTCAAAAAAGATCTCAATTTCTATCGTAAAATATCTGCAAACATTGTATCGCATAATAAATGAGAGAATATTATATAACTTTTTAAAATAATCACAATTTTTAATATTGAAATTAAAATGAAAGCTATGGGTGAGTAGACACACAACACACACATACATACACACCAACACCACTACCAGTGCCAACACCTGCTTATATTTGGCAGACATTGGGAATCGAGTTCTGGTAACTATACTTTGGCAGCAAATTGTATGCCATAAAGGCTATGGCGGTCAAGGACTCAGGCGCTCGGGTCGATAGGTTTAGACATTCATTTTAGGACTTAATTATTATAAGTACTTTTCGCTAACTGTTGCAAAAAAGTCGTGTTTGTTGTCTGTATTTTGAGGGCTAATGAAAATTTTGTGCGAAAATTTTTCAAATACTGCTTCAAATCGAGTTTGCATTCCGTATAACACACTGTATTAAAGTGTTATACATTTCGGGTGTTTTGTTATTAACTAATATCAAGAAAATGCTTTCGTTTCTAAATTACCTTTTTATTTAAAATAAGTCACTTTTTTGGGCAAAGAGTCGTATGAATGGGATATTCGTGCGAAGAATTGCTAAAATTATATTTTTAGGCATCACTTCAATTGTAAAGTGAGAGACAATTATACAAATGTATAAAAATGAGAGTTAATTACTATAAAAAGTATTATTACTCTTTTTGAATGAGAGGTTTTACTTTAAAATTTAATTATTTTCATAACAATAACAATAAAAAGTAAAATGTTTTCCACATTATATTAACTTAATTTAAATTTTCACTAAGTTTACAAACGATAGTTCAAAGCATAAAGTCTACTATTAATTCAGACATATTCTCAGACATGTTTACTAATAATTCACATCAATTGTAAACAAAATAGCATTTAATACTTAAATATTCCTTAAATAAATATAATATGAAAGATAAAACCATTTATTAGTAAATAATTAAATTTAAAAGGATTGGAGAAAAGATTAAATGAAACCATAAATTACTAACAAATATTGATAACAAATGAAACATTAAAAGTACAAAACAAGACTATGTATCGAAATAATTGAATTAAATTTACCTGAAATTTAATAACTGATAATTTGGTGGTCAGAGATCAGGTCATGTTGTCGATGAAGAGTCAGCCGAAGACCAGTGAAGGGAGTTGTTGTTCGCGAGGCATCCCTTTCGCCACTCGCGCCGGTGTTGTCGTTGTCTTCTTCTGTCGATACACTTCTTGTTTTGTGTCTTCTCTTTCGTGTCAAATGTTTTTCACTTTGAGATCAAATTTTAAGGTGTCTTTCAAAATGAGTTCTTAGTGTGAGATATGGTTTACACCGCGTTTTTTTTCACTCAATTCTTCGCCGAAGTGTTGTTTACTATAAATAGATATCAAAAATTCTTCGGTAATCGTCTCTCTGTTTTCGCCTCTTTTTTATATCTATTTTTTAGAGAGAGAATGCTTTTAAGCCGACGATAGACTACTGGGGCTCTCAATAGTAGCCCCGAAACACCACTTTTCACGTTTTCCAGTGACGTCTCTTCAGTGGGTCATAGAATACATAACATTACGGAATCGCTCCGCCCTTACCATCATTTATGATGTACTCTCTCTTTTACTCTCCTTTACTCTCTCTCTCTCCCCTCAAATACAAGCAAAACATTTTTTACAGCGCAATACAAACGGCACATACTTTTTATGTAATACCGCTTTCGAGCCATAGTTTTGCAAACTTTTCCATCTCTTAACGTGTATTCCTCTCTCACTTCCCAATCACTGACTGAACCGCTCTTTCGTTGCCATCTTCTGAAGTCCGGCACAACTATTAACAAAAGGTCTCGGCTTTTGTCCACACGTATCCTCTATTTACTTAAGCAACAGTTAAATACAAATTATTAATTAATTAAACTTTTAGTGATATCTTTGTAGTAATTTTTAATAAAATATTTGAATATTCCACTGATTGACCAATAAAATATACTTACTGAATATGCTTTATATGCTTGGTCAATCTTTTACATACATGTAAATACCAAATGGGCAAAAAAAACATGCTTGTAATAAGAAAATTAACACATATTTAGGTTTAAAAAGTTGTTAAAATTTTTCCATTATCTCCGAAAAGCAATAATTTATAGCATTTTATTTGAATGAATTATAAATTATTATTAAAAACACATTAACTAATAAATTAAACTAAAAATTCACACTTTATTTGTTACCTTTGAATTACCAACAAATAACTCGTAAATTTTGTGCACACAATGAAAACGCTATCAAAATATATTTATCCGCCAAATCGTCTCTTATACTAATTTAAATATTATATTATTTACAAAATTCTTGACTTAATATTTAGAAATCAAGTGATAAACAAAATGTTTCTCAGAAGTTATGCCTTTTTTCATGTAAACAAAGTTATGAATAATGTATTTCTCGCGAAACGAGAGGAAAACTGAATTTGTGTCTTAAAAATTTTTAAAAAAAAAGTTTTAAATTGTTTGTTATATTTAGTCTATTATTAGATTTGATGACAAATGAAATTAAAAGACTCGTAAAGCAAACCTGAAATGACCATTAGTTGACGTTTTGGTCATTAAATAGGACGCCAACTGTTATTAAGTTAACATTATTTGTATTCAATTGAATCATTAGTTGGCAATAAAGGAGTGTTATATCAGTTTTGCCAGAAATACAATTCATTTTTGCCGCAACTCTTACGACACCAGCAAAAAGGCTCATAAATTCATATCAAATACTATTATCTCATAATAAAATCCTTGATTTTGTCGTCAAAATTCCCTTTAAATGACTACAACTTATGTTTAGTTTTGATAAAAATCTACTTTAGTTTAGCGAAAAGCACTAAATTGTACACAAAATATAAGTAAACGTAACAATAATATAATTTATTGAAGGCTCTTATGATAAGGAAAATAACAAAAACACTCGTCGGTACTAACCCTTGCTTTTAAACTCAAGATGTTTTTGCTTAAGTGTTATATCATATAATCTAAAATATAATCTATACAAAAACTCGTAATAAAGGGTTTTTGGTTATTATCAAAAGGATTACCATTTTATAGATTATATTTTTATTGAAAGAGTTTTGCCAATAAATATATGAAATTCAATAACAATATTGAGAGCAAAGTAAGCAACACTTGGTTTTCAATAATTGATAAAAAGAGTTAAAATAAAGAGTTACGAAAACTCAACACTGATTTATTGCATCCGCAATGAATGGCTAAATTGAATGAATGGGTAAACTGTGGTATAAAGCTATCATCTATTGTAACGATAGGTTAGTATAACATTAAAATGGTTTAACTTCTCGGAGAATGC